CAATCTGGGAACTTGGTTGGGAATTCCCTGGTTGGGACTTGTCTCACTTTGCCAAATTTGGGATTTTTATGAGTATTCTTTAAATACCCAAAAATATCCAAAAATGGGAATCCGTTATTTTTTCCTGTGTTATACGAGCATGTCTTATCTAAGACGAGAACAGCTCGTATCAATGGTTCGCGTCTTATTTCCGTTATTGACTCGTTTTCATGTGAATGTTGCCCGTAGCAACGGCAACCAACAAGGCGCGAAAATTTTCCCGCCAAAAATTAACGCATGCGTACCATGCATTCGCGTCTTATGTAAGACACAAAGGTCATTTATACGAAGTTTTTCTCGTCTTAGCTATAAGAACAGGTGTTAAGGGCATACCTGCCAACTCTCCCGGTTTTCCCGGGAGTCTCCAAGTTTTTCATCAAATCTCCCGGTCTCCCGGTTAGAGCACCAAATCTTCCAGATAAAAAAAACTTTTGAGCATTTCTGTGCTTTAGTTAGAAATTTAGTCCATTTTTTCACAATTCGAAGTTTTTGTATTCATTGTACAGTTTCTGGGACATTTTTGCACATGTTTAGGCAATGACAAAGATTAGTTCGTCATTACAATGATGAAAGCGCATTTTGATTCCATAAACTTCATGTAAGAAGTCATATAATGTCCTAAGGCAATTTTTTGGCGCGGGCGGGGGGGGTGGGGGAAGGGGGGTTGGTGCTGTTGACATTCGGGGAGTCTCCAAATTTTAGATCTCCGGAGGTTGGCAGGTATGTAAGGGCTGTTCTAAAATAACACGCGTCTTAGCTAAGTCGCGTCTTATTTTAGACGAAATGTGCCGTTTATACGAAAATTTCGCGTTTTATTTAAGACGCGTCTTATTTTTCCTCGTATAAATGGCCGTATTATGGCTCTTGGTAAGAGAGAATGGATGAGAACTGCTTCAATTGGGCGTGATCTCAGGTTACAACACGATTGGCAAATCGAACAATGCCTTCTCCATATTAGGGTTTTTTCTTTGTCGGGAAATTATTTACATGGGCAAACCGGTCGGTTCACGGCTTGGTTAAATGGTTCGCAAAGTTGAGGACTGGAAAATTTCGTCCCAGAATTCGCGATCATCGTTTTCAAGAAACAATCTTTGTCAATGACTAAATAGGTAAAAAATGCCCCAGAAATCGTACTACGAATACCAAACATTCAAGCTTTGAGCTGAAAATGGGTTACATCTCAAACTAAGGCACAGAAAAGCTCGAAAGATGATTTAATCCGGGAGATATGGTGACCCGTACGGGAGACCTGGAGATTGGTGTAGTAGTCTATCTGGGAGAGTTGGCGTGTGCGAGAACTTATGACAAACAATATGAGAGGTCGACTTGTAGCAAGTCTACACGCAGGGACCGCGGAGGGGGAGGGGCTGGTAGGGCCGCGGCCCCACCACTTTTTTGCGCCCCCGCCCCCACTTTTTGCGCTAAAGGAAAAATAATTAAATTAAAAAAAAAGAGACTTGAAACAAGGTTTTTTTCCGTGTATATTCCGCTATATTCTCTGTATTTTCTTTAATTTCAAGCGCCAGGCATTTTGTGGGGCTCCTGTGCTTTTCGCAGTAATTGTGCCCTTGGGCCGACTTGCCCCTTGATTAAACGCCATGCCTTGGCCACCCCTTGGCTTCGTTCGGCAGCGTGTTTTGTACTTCCAGCTCCGGCAGAGTTTTTTATCAGTTTTATCAGACGAAATGAAGAAAATTACTAGCTTTTTCAAGCCAAACGAAGGTGAGTAGTTGTTTTGAGTTGATAAAAGTTTTATATTTTTTCTTTCTTCTTTCGAATCAATGAAATATTCGATGGCAAGAAGAATTACATTACTTGAACAGTGAACGGCCATACTTAGAAATTTTTCAGATCACGTCAGTGTAGTATTTTCTATACTAAAATTGTAATCCCGTCTTTTCTTGCATTGAATCTGAACTGACCGTGAATGTTGGTCGTTTATTAGAGTTATCAGGGACTTCGTCAAAGTCTGTAAGCTCTGCAGAAAAGACGACAACTACTTGCAGTGAAAATGATGAGTTTGAGTTTGACCATTTAACATACAAATACTATGATTTTATTCCTTTTATTCCTTTTTTCGATTTTCAATATGAAAAAAATATTTTCAATTGTCAGCCCTCCCACTTTTCACCTTGCTCCGCGGTCCCTGACACGAATGCTTTATATTAAAGAAGCCAATTGCTGAAACAAGATTTCGAAAATAGAAAGATTTTGCATAGAAAAAAAAACAGTGACTCGCAAAAAGAGGCTCGAGGCTCGCAAAAAATGGCAGAAATCCTCGAACAGTTGTTTTTTTTGGTTTGAGCCCGCGGAACAGCAGACTGCGGCAGCATTTCCTTTGTTGTTTTCTAAGAAACTTGACCCTGCTTCGCTACACTTTTCACACTTCAACGAATGCTTATTTTTGTGAATTGTCTGGAAAAGGACGCACATAATTAAAAAAAATGTCTGACAATGATAC